AAAAATGCCCTATCAGGGCGAGGGTTATGGGATGGTCACTTTAATTCGCGCCCCACTGGGGCTCATGGATTTCCATGCCCTGCGGGGGAGTGTTTGAACACCCTCTTTCTAACCCGGCTCCTGGGCCACGTAGCGACATGCTGAAGGCGGCATTTGAAAGATCGCCACCAAAAATTCAAAACGATTTCATAGTTAAGTAGCTTATTCTAAATAACGTCTGCAGTGAACCTGTCTGTCCCTTGCAATATGAATATCACGATTACCTATGGTCAAGCAGCCAGAAAGTAACGCTATTGTCCATTAACATCCGCTACACACACAAGGATAAAACGTCGCAAAATCACCATGCGAAGAAAACAAACACAGGCACGTCACACATACTACTATGGACGTCAAACTCCCTGAGACCCCACTTGTTTGCGATAGTTTTCAAATGCTTTAACTCTCGTTGACGATGTGTTCTGGCAATACTGAAACTAATATACGAAACTGGCAATGTGTGTTTCCGAACCTGCCAAAACTTTTATTACTAAGGTATTTTAACGCCAAACGATTCTCATTCACTCGTAATGTTAAATTTCACGGAATGAATCTGCTGTTGGGTAAGGGCTACGCGCTCATGAGGTGGAACCACGTAATGACGTCAGCGCTATGCTCCGTCCGCCCTACCCTTCCGGCGCTCCTTGCCCGGCGACCGGTCACTGGCGTCTCGCGCTCCATCCAGAGCTCTGTTCGCCCCCCGTTTATTTATCAGCAGGCTGCGACCATGCTGCTACTTCTTCGGGCTCCTCATTGGTCGAATTCAAGTGGTCTATTCGTTAGACCAATGAGAGGCCAAGCTGCGCCAGCAATAACTTCCTTATATGGGGAAAACCACGGTCGTCAAGCTAGATGTAAGTGAATCCTAATCTATAATCTAAGATTCGGAATCAGGTGAGCCCCTACGATTTGGACCAAACTTGGTCAGTGGATAGTACGTAACGTCCTGATTACGATGCACCCAAAATTTAAGCTCGGCCCGCCATATTTACGAAGTTACGGATGTTTGAATTTCAAGGTCATTTGGGCGAGCCCCTGCGATTTCTGTCAAAATTGGTGTAGGGATACTCTAGATGCTCCTCATTACGAATATCACAAAATTTAAGCTCGGCCCGCCATATTTACGAAGTTACGAAGTTTTGAATTTCAAGGTCATTTGGGCGAGCCCCTGCGATTTGCGTCAAAATTGGTATACGGGCATATTACACCCTCCTCATTACAAATATCATAAAAGTTAAGCTCGGCCCGCCATATTTTTCAAGTTACGGAGTCACAAAGTTTCGGAATTTCAAGGTCATTGGGAGAGCCCCTCCGATTTTCGTCAAAATTTGTATGCGGACACATTACATGCTCCTCATTACGAATATCGTAAAAGCTAAGCTCGGCCCGCACTATTTCAAAAGCTACTGTGGTTTGAAACTCACTGATATTCAAACATCTGTAACTTTTGAAATAGTGCGGGCCGAGCTTAGCTTTTACGATATTCGTAATGAGAAGCCTGTAATGTGTCCGCATACAAATTTTGACGAAAATCGGAGTGGCTCTCCCAATGACCTTGAAATTCCGTAACTTTGTCACTCCGTAACTTGAAAAATACGGCGGGCCGAGCTTAACTTTTATGATATTTGTAATGAGGAGCATCTAGAGTATCCGTACACCAATTTTGACGGAAATCGTAGGGGCTCGCCCAAATGACCTTGAAATTCAAACCTCCGTAACTTCGTAAATATGGCGGGCCGAGCTTAAATTTTGTGATATTCGTAATGAGGAATATTCGTATTCGTAATGATATTCGTAACTAGAGTATCTGTACACAAATTTTGACGGAAATCGTAGGGGCTCTCCCGAATGACCTTGAAATTCAAACATCCGTAACTTCGTAAATATGGCGGGCCGAGCTTAGATTTTGGGTGCATCGTAATCAGGACGTTACGTACTATCCACTGACCAAGTTTGGTCCAAATCGTAGGGGCTCACCTGATTCCGAATCTTAGATTATAGATTAGGATTCACTTACATCTAGCTTGACGACCGTGGGAAAACCGACAGCACGCTGATATAAAAACAGCGACCGAACAGGGCCCAGGCTTGATGGTGGGCGGACGCTAGCTCTGTAGATGATAGCTCTGTGGGCGCTGGTGGATGACATTAAGCTCAGATGGTGCTGGTGGCTCGAGTGTGGCCGAACGTAAGCCTCTGCCCGGCCTGAATTGACCTTAGCATTATGAGTGAATGAGAAGTACCTTCCATAATCATTTGGCGTCAAAATACCTCAGTAATAAAAGTTTCAGGAGGTTCTGAAACACACATTTCCAGAATATCGTCAATAGAGATGTCAATCGGATACCAACTTTTTGGTATACCGATACCAAGCCGATACCAACTCGGTATTTGGTATTTCAGTTCTGATGTGTTTGGTATTTTGTTGGTATCATGAACCCTCGCTAATGTTTAAGAGGCTAAGAAATAGGTAAAAAGTTGGTATTTTCCTCATGTTCCCAAGTTGGTTTGGTTTCGGTATTTCTCCACGGTTTAGGTTGGTATATGGTTTGGTATCGGCATTCCGATTTTCCGTAATTGACATCACTAATCGTCAACGAGAGTTAACGTATTGAAAAATTATCGCAAAAAGTGGAGCCTCAAGGGTTTGACATCCATAGTGGTTCAATGTTTATCAGTATACACTAACATATTCAATATTCATCATGTTCATTATCATAAGCGTCTCAAACGTGTCTCGGTCGCGGGTCGCGTTCGAATTGAGCATACACTGAAAAAAATAATGACACCTAAAAGGGGTGTTTTTTGAAGCGTACCAAAAACGCGCAGTTTTCTGGAGTCCGATTACACCCGGAATCAGACACTTTCTAGGGTATTATGACACTGATTGAGGGTGTATTTTTATACCGTACGGCGTCAAATGATTCCCGGAATCATACGCCTTATGGAATAAAAATACACCCCAAATCAGAGTCATAATAGTCTGATTCCGGGTGTAATCTGACTCCTGGAAACTGCGCGTTTTTGGTACGCTTTAAAAAACACCCCTTTTAGGTGTCACTTCAGGGAGTAATCGGATTTTGAGGGTGTATTTTGATCCCACACGGTGTATGATTCCGGGAATCATTTGACGACATGTGGTATAAAATACACTCCCAACCAGAGTCAGATCACCTCGGGGGGTGTCTGATTCCGGGTGTAATCGGACTCCTGGAAACTGCGCGTTTTTGGTACACTGAAAAAAATAATGACACCTAAAAGGGGTGTTTTTTGAAGCGTACCAAAAACGCGCAGTTTTCTGGAGTCCGATTACACCCGGAATCAGACACTTTCTAGGGTATTATGACACTGGTTGAGAGTGTATTTTTATACCGTACGTCGTCAAATGATTCCCGGAATCATACGCCTGATGGAATAAAAATACACCCCAAATCAGAGTCATAATACTCTAGGAAGTGTCTGATTCCGGGTGTAATCTGACTCCTAGAAACTGCGCGTTTTTGGTACGCTTCAAAAAACACCCCTTTTAGGTGTCACTTCAGGGAGATAATCGGATTTTGAGGGTGGATTTTGATCCCACACGGTGTATGATTCCGGGAATCATTTGACGACATGTGGTATAAAATACACTCCCAACCAGAGTCAGATTACCTCGGGGGTTGTCTGATTCCGGGTGTAATCGGACTCCTGAAAACTGCGCGTTTTTGGTACGCTTCAAAAAACACGTAGGTGTCACCTCAACGGTGTCAAATGACTCTTGGGATGATTTTTCTATACCGATTCAGAGCCTGTTCCTGTTAGCGCCACACATCAGCTAATATCAATATTACCGGTACTATTGGTCTCCTATATGAGAAATACCGCGGTAATATTCGAGTGCGGGGATTGGGTTGTGTGCAGGGGTGAGGGATGCATTCGAACCGAGCTGCGGCGAGGGTATAAAGGGTATATTCATCGCATCAGAAAAACAGGTCGCCTGGGCCCTTATCTTGAGACCAATAGTATGGTACAACTAACCAACATACCCATGGGTATGTTCTGCTTCTGAAGCTTATAGGAACGATTAGCCAGACTGCAACGAGACTTTAAATGTAGCTTACATGTGTCTTCACCCTTGCAGCTACAATTTTATCTATTGACGATGACGTCTTCTTTTCAATCAGTCTTTATACCAGATATTGTCAAATGATTCTCGGAATCATACACCTTATGGGATCAAAATACACTCTCCAACAGAGTCATAATTGCAGTTGTTAACCACGTGACGCAAAGTAACAATACATGCATGTCATTCTTTATTTTATATGCAACAATAAATTCCAAAACATTTGGGCACGAAATGTATGGCGAAATCAAATTACACCTAATAAGGGAGTCACGGATTGCGAAAACGCTCAACTGTGTGAAATGACACCTATAGGATATAAAAACTCCTCATGATAGCGTCAAAAACGCTTAGATGTGTCATTTTACACTGACACCGTGCAGGATCTTTTGACACGACACCTAAAATGGGAGTCAAAATTTTGGGAGTCAAATGACCCTTGGGTATGTGATTCTGACCGAGATCAATTTACACTAAAAAACGGTGTATGGACACTGTTTTTCAGAATCGGATTACACCACGGGTGTCAGTTGATTCCCAAATAGGGGATCGTGATTCCCGGGGGGAGTAATTATTTTTTTCCGTGTAGGCTTTCGATTCCCGATCAGGAAGCGAAAGCCTGTGCTCAATGTCGATTTTACATTTACCTTAAATTTTAATAACCCTGACCCAAATTATAACATTTGACCCGTGACCTCTTTCTTGGAGCAATTGCAAACCAGAGTGGAGATTTAATATCAGAGCATAAATATTGTATGAGCGTTTCGGTTGTGTTGTGTGTTTGACAAATCTCAGTTCAGATCGCCTTGGTCCAATAAAAATGTCAGTCATTTTATTGAGATCTGTTCTTTTTCAGCTTCTTCCTCCGTGAAGATTCCAGAGAAGAAAAAGTGCGCTGGCCAGTGCGTGACGGGACTGTTTTCTTATCTATGTGACCGCGTGGACAACACGGTCAAGTGCAACAACGGTGGCCGCTGTTGCGTGTCTCGCTCCAGCGCCAACAAAGACCCCGAGCCGACTACCACGCTTAAGCCGAGGCCCGAAGACAAGTGTCCTGGCATTTGCATGCCCGGCTTCATGGCTGCCTACTGCAAGGCACCGGCCTTCCTCATGACCGACAACAAGGGCTGCAGCGGCAGCCAGGTTTGCTGCAACAACCAGGGCGACATCAACAAGGAGGATGGGCTCAAACCAGCCAAGCCTCCGCGGCCTGCCGGCGTCGGCGCATCCCCCATCGGCGCCCTCCTCAATCAGGCGCTGGGTGCCGCTGGCGGCGGCGGCGGCGGCGGCGGCGGCGGCCTCATCGGCCAGCTGGCGCCGCTCGCCGCCTCGCTGCTGAGCGGCGGCGGCGGCGGCGGCGGCGGTGGCGGCGGCGGCGGCGGCCCGGCTGGTCTCGTTCAGGCCGTGCTGCCTGCTCTGCTGGGCGCGGGCGGCGTCAGCAATAGGCCGGCCCGGCCGCCGCCGCCGCCACGGCCGGACCGTGTGGACGCCAGTCAGCGGCCGGGCCGGCCGCCGGCGCCGGCCCAGCCGGTCGACCCGCGTCCGCTCTGTCCCGACACGTGCATCGGGCCCTTCCTCTCCTTCACATGCTTCAGTGAGTGACCAGTCGCTGGCAGGGCCGGAGCTTCCTTTACAGTTGGTGGGGTGGCTATCCCACCAACTTGCCATTTTGCCCCACCAATAAGCGTTTTGCCCTTCCAACTTTGGCTGATTTGTAGGACTTTGCTGCTTTGCAAATCAACCTTTTTCGCATTGAGTACCTTTGGAATGTCAGTGTAATGCAAAACGTTATATCTGTAATGATAAGAATTGATTTAGTGTGGCATTTTATTCAGCTTGACAAAAGGATATTGCAGGTTTGACGAATTTTTGCCCCACCAACTTCCCTCGAAAAGCTCCACGCATGGTCGCTGGTGGGCTATGCACTCAGTGATTGATATCATCGATAATTGGCGAACATCTTTCTTGCAATAGCTTTGTTTTGTTTATGGAGTGCACTTTTCTTGCTTCCACTTGGTAAGAAAGAAAGAGAAACTGATGCCTCATAATAAAAAGCCAAATTTCCAGTATTCAATCGTGTCATTGTCAAGTAGCCCAACCACGCAGCCATGAAGCCACTTGCGTCTTCCGAAAGCGTTGACAGGTAATTTGTCCGTTACCTTGTGCAGGTAGTGCAGAGATGACCGACCTCTTCAAGTGCCCGTCCAAGAAGGAGCGGTGCTGCGCCAAAAAGTCCAACATTCGCCGATTGCAGCAGCAGCAGCAGCAGTACTATAATACCGGCGTTGAGTACCCAGAGTACCCGGAGCAGTACCCGGCGCCGCCTGCCGAGTACCCGGAGCAGTACTCGGCGCCGCCTGCCGAGTACCCGGAGCAGTACCCGGCGCCGCCTGCCGAGTACCCGGAGCAGTACCCGGCGCCGCCTGCCGAGTACCCGGAGCAGTACCCGGCGCCGCCTGCCGAGTACGGACCGGGACCAGAGTACCAGGCTGGCCTGCCCTCCCGCATCGGTGAGATCACAACTGGTGCGGAGGCCAGTGCAAGGCACGCACCACGTGCACATCACCGAACCTCTTGGTCGCTGTGCTTTTCAAGCAGTACTTTAGTGCGTGTCCATGCACATTGCACAACTGGTGAGCGAGGGGTACCGTGAAATTCTAATCATCACCATAACTCGAATAACCTTTAGTCTGCTTTTTAGCAGCTGCCGGTCGTTTAAAGGGACTATCCCACCTTCTAAAATGTTGTTAAAACCAGTTAAATTGTTCCCGTCTTTATAGATTGGATGATCAGGAACACGGTTTTGGCATTTATTTTTAATTAAACATCTTAGGCTTCCCATATTCCAAACACAAACTTTCAAATATGTGACGTCACAGCCCAAAATTACCTCCTTCTCCAGGCCACATTACTGCCATAAAGCTGATTCTTTTTACTCTGTAGGCACCACAACAAAGTTCAGACCAAGTTTTAAGCGATTTTTCAACGAACAAACCCATTTAAATCAGAATGACTAAACGAGGTGACGTCACACTAACGGTCGCTCCATGTTGAAGATAGGGCCTTGCACAAGGCCCATTTTCAAATGAAGGGAACGAATTTCTTCAACACCAAGAGGCCGCGGGGGTTGCAACCTAGATAGATAGTGGTTTCTGAACCTCGCCGCAAACTTGGCTATCTCAACTCAAACCCCATGTTAAAGGTGGGATAGTCCCTTTAAAGTGCTCAACTCAGCACTGCACGAGCAGCGGAAGCAAAAATCGAACATGATTGGAAGTCTTCCGCCCAGGGATATTGAATTATGCTTCCGCCTGCATTTTACTTTTGAAAGCTTCGGACCCATCTTTTACCATATGTAAAGGATCAACATCAGTCAATCAGCTTTAATCTTTTCGTTTCAAGATATCTTATACTCGCGAATTAAATGTTTCTTAGTGTAATGCAGTTGATTCAGTAAGCTAATTTTAAATTAAAGCAGTCATTTTCGATGTGTCTGAATACTGTCCAAGATTTCAGTAGAAGAGAATAATATGGAGTATGAACCTTACAAGAGCATCCTTCAAATCAAATTGCGTGGTTTCCTCACGACGAAAAAATTTATGCTACATTTCCGAAATAAAGTGTATGAGAGTAGCTCGAATGGCTGATGTTTCTGAACGTACGTGGGGTGAATGAAAAGTTTTGAGCCTAACACAGTTACAGGTGACGCAGGTTAATGAAGATTTGGTCACACATTTTGCCACTATTTTTAGGTGTGTACACCAAGTTTTGAAGTCCTAGTCCTTTCCGTTTCGTTTTTAGAGCCCGTTAAAGTGAAGAAGATTACGCGTTCGGTGAAAAGGAAGAAAATCGAGAACCGAGCTTTTATAAAGTATTGCGATTTCAAAGCCATGCCTTCATCTGAAATTAAAAAGGACCTGAAATTAAACTTATTGGTTGTGGTCCATCATACGACACTGTTAAGGTTTGAGCTGCTAATTTCAAGCAGGGCAGGAACAGCGTCCAAAATGAACAAAAACGCCGTAGAATGTGAGAAAATCCGATAACATTGACCCTGCTCTTGGGGTGTGGATGCTGGATCCAAGACTGTGAGCTCATCAGATAGCGGTAAGAATGGACATCTCCCAGGAGCAAGCTGGCGACATTCTTACCAATGGGCATGACTTGAGAAAGTTCTCTGCCCATTGGGCCTCTCGGCTTTTTGCTGCAGAGCACGGCGAGAGATGTGTAATGACATTTGGCGCTAGTTGAAGCAGATTCTGAGAATTTAAAGTCACTTTTCGCTACCGATGATAAACTGTGGGTGTTTCACTTCAATCCAGCATGGGAAGAACAGTGGAGTCAGTGAAAGAACGTCTCTACTCTAATCTGAAAAAAATAAATGTCAGAGTCACAACAAAGAGGAAACTGTTCCGTAATTGGGAAAATAAATGAGGTGTCTTGCAAGTGCACTTCTTTTCAAAGGGTCTTACTGTAATTGCGCATTACTAGGATGACCCACTGATGCACTTATGTTAGAAAATCAGGAAGATCAGATGGGCAATGCTGACAAAATTGGTCGTGTTTCACCAGGACAATAAATCGGGGTATTTTTCACTGGTTGCAATGTAAACAATCAATTACTAAGCCTTCCAATGTATCCCAAATTGAATCTCTTAACCAGCATTGACATCCTTAGGGTGTCTATTTCTTTCTAAGCCTAAAGAAAAAACTGACTGGATGACGCTTCACAAAAAATAATGAAGTCATTGACACCGCGAGCACTTACCCAAAATAGCATGATTCAAGGCGCTAAAAAAGTGAGGAAAAAAGTGCTAGGACTTCACAATTTGGTGTCCACCCATATCAATAGTGGCAAAATATGTGACCAAAGTTTCATTAATCTGCGTCTCCTGTAACTATGTTAGGCTCAAAACTTTTCATTCACCCTACGTATTGTCTGTGAGGTGGAAAAAGATGAATGCGATTGTGAAAACTGGAAGCTATTATTGATCAAGATATTTTTAGGAAAGGAAACGTTTTCCGCATATATTTCCATAGTCCTTTCCTCAATCTTGTATTCTTGCATGCTTACCATAAGCTTTTTTTTTGGCTTGTTTCGCGACATAAAGCTTCAAATCACCTTTTATTTCGTAAAAGGCATGCTTCGTTACTTTTGCCTATTACCCAAATACGATAGACCATCTAATAAGACCAACTTTGTTGAAACTGGTTGCAAATCCCTGTTACAATCCAGCAAATTTAATCAATAATAAGATGCATATTCGATCGCATACCGATATGTTTTATCGGGCGCTGCCAGCCAGTGATGCCATCCACATTTTTGCTCCATCCCAAGATCTCGACCAGAATTTCCCAAGATTTTCGTCTCGAATCCCAAGACTACCCATCGCATATCCGGAGTACCCCAAGTAAATCCATAGCTTATTTTGGACATATTAGTGTGTTTAGTATTCAACTTTCTCTTCTTCGGGTCCACCCTTGTCCTTATTGGCGTCTTTACAGCAGCTAATGTACCTAGAGGCCGGGGGGAGGGGGTCGATCGGACTCCTACAGCTGATCGGTTCCTGACCGAGTATAAGAGCTTCAGATGCTGGCCTAGACAACATGAAGCCGGTGGTATCTGATATTATGGTCAGGTCATTCGTCGATCGTCAATGGTGGGTCAAGGACCCAAAATACAAAGTTCGAATCTGTTAGAACGGCCTGGAAACAAAGTCTGTGGCATTTTGGATTTATTTCGAAATTTGTCTCGTGACACATTTGGAGAAGCTAGGGTCAGGTGAGGTCAGGCTGATTTTTAGTGTTTTCCACCACTGAGTTTTGAGATATGGGCTCCAAAACAAGCTCTTAAAAGCTTATGTGAATCCAGAAATCGAAAAGCCTATGCTGTGAATCTGCGCGTAAGCCAGTGCCCGCTGGGGCCCATGAATTTTCAAGCCGACGATGGCGAGGGGGTCTAAACCGACCCCCACCAAACACGATTTGGTAGCACTGTAATGACGCCTGCTGGGCGTGAAGTTTTCCCTTCACCATAGGGTTTACACACAAATTGGTCAAAGTTTGAGCCAGGATATACTAGTCTAAAAATGCAAAAAACGAACAAATTTTGGCATCAATAGATTCAGCATTTCATCGTGTGCCTCAAACCGTCCATCATTTGGCCTCAAAGGAGGTAAAAATTGTTCAAAATCGAAGTTGAAAAGATGCTTTCTGAGCACATAATCTGGTAGCAATCACGTGACCTGCTATAAGCAGCTTATCGATAATTTACAAACATAATCATTAAAATGTTGCTTTAAAGGGACCCTCCCACCTTCAAAAAAGTTAATGAATTGGCATGAAAGTGATGTCGCTCGGTTCAGAAAGAGCAAAAACGAATATCTACCAAATTTCATCGAAAAATATTCACCGGTTTTCAAGATATTAGACTTTTACTTTTGTTTACTTTTTGGGATCTCCGCTGTTCCTAGCGACTTTATTTGAAAGTGCGGCATTTGTTGCGCGCAAAGCAGCATATACCACCGCGTGCTGCAAAACGTTTTAGTCAAACATTTAACGGACGTTCGAAAGCCTGATGACGTCATCAGATTTCCGTAATGGTTAAGAGATAGGGACCACGCTGGTCCCACCCTGCAAGTAAAGGGAAGAAATTTCTTGAACACCATAAAGCTGCGGGGGTTGCGACCAGGATAAATGGTGGTTTCTGAGCCTGGCCGCAAACTTGGCTATCTCAACTCAAAACTAATGTTAAGGTAGGAGGGTCCCTTTAAACAACATTAATCATACATTTTGAGCTTTCAGTACTTTAAATAAGGTCAAAACATCACAAAACACAAAAGTTAATACAATAGTCACGTGGGTGTCAGGAAATGTCACAGGTGCGTCAAATTTGTGACTGGGGCTTTACTTTCAAACATCGGATCTACCTGTTTCTTATAGGTATCTTGGTCTAAACGAGGACCTAACTCGTCCCCTGGACTATATAGTTACAAGACGTCAGCAGTGTTGTGAAGGTCGCAAGGTTACGCTTTGATTATTTTTGGTCTAGCAGAGCCCAGAGGTCAGGTGACCAGACACTTTTCCGAGGTCAAAGACAAATTGCCCTTATTTTGGTTCGCGGTCAACGGATAAGCCTCCATAGAGCAAAACCGTAAAATGAAACGCTTTGTGCGGGAGCCGCTTTCTGAAATATTTTTTGGGGCATAATGTTTGTAAAAGCTTTTCATAGCCATCCAACATCATGCCGCCAAACGACCCATCCCCGTTGATCGGTAGTTGGAAATTAAACAAATGAGCGCCAGTTGCGAACAGCGACTGAAAGCTGCTACTATACCCATAACAAGTAATGGTACAAAAATAATCCTGCGACCTCGGGAAGATAATGCCTGCAAGAAACATCGCAAGCTTCGTCCGTTACTTCAATATGTTTGAATGCTATTAACCGTCCGTGAGGCAAATCCATCCTAAGTTTATTATCGACCAAGGAAAAAAGCATTCGACAGCATGAGAAGACAAAGTGAAATCAGCTTCTGCCAGATCCCAAGATATGCAGCGCAAATCACAAGATCCCAATGTTAATGTTCAAATCCCAAGATCTTGGGACAAATCCCAAGGAATGGCATCGCTGCTGCCAGCACAACTGGCCGAAAAAGTGGCTCGTTATGTTTTTACATCTCAACTCACGTGCAGATACATTTAAAGCGCTTTAAAGGTAAATTGTCAGCTAAAATACAAAATTTGATATTTTGTAGAATCAGCACTCCACTTTACGAAACTGAAATCAAATTTTGGAAATTTATTCTGAGTCACGAGTAATTTAATGTTGAAATTGGGATTTCACCTACTTTTGTACTATTTTTACGTTAAAACCCACCAGATTCCTCAACTATCACTATATTTGAATCGCGTGAAATCGGAGCTTCTCTACAAAACTTCAAATCAAAAAATTAATTTACGATTTTGCTGAATATCAACATAATAATTTCATCCTAGGCTATGAAAATTCTGTAAGTACTACCAGTTAAATTATTTTCAAAATTTCGCATTTTTCATTTTGCAAAAAGAAAGCAGAAATCGATTCGCCGATGCTGTGGCTTTGGAGATTAGCGCCACATTAGCACCATTCACTCAGCGTTGGCGCCGGAATTCCCGGCTTTGGACCCGGCGAATCGATACGCCGCAAAAGTAGGTAAACAAAGCCGGTTTGACGAGATTCAACGTTCGGGTATGGTACGAAGGCATTTGGTTGTGTGTTGGTATCATTTCTTGCCTTTTTCTTTAAATGTGGAACGGGCGTGAGGCTTATATTGAAAAAAATAACGTTGTAGCTTGCCTTCGGAAATTGCGTGATAGATGTATGAAGTGCGCCATTCAAGGTGACAATTTCGCCGTCGGCCATCATGAAAATAGTGATGAAGGCTTTTCGCACGTACTATTTTAGACTCGCAAGCGACTCTGGAATCATTTATAGAAAGATCGTGTTTGAAGAATCCGGTAAGGCTGAAACCTGCACAGAACGACTTCTAAAATTCGAATTGTGCAATCTTATAAAAATGAAAAAGGTGATAGTTTCCCTTTAAACGACCGGCAGCTGCTAAAAAAGACTATAGACAACAAATTGCGCGGCGGGCACTTTCTTTACGAGTCGCCGCACACAGCTGCTGGCATATCATTCCTGTTGGATCTATCGTGGAATGCCCCATTCCGGGCATTCCACGATAGATCGTACCAGGCCCGTCACCCTCATCTCTCAGATTTTAATGAAAATCGGTCCTAGGGGTAATCATAGGCCCCAAAGACGCCTGGCAAAATATCAGACTTCTCAAATCAAAACTTTTTGAGTTAAATTGCATTACATTTTTTTAACTTCGGTATGTAACGGTGAGTTTGATGGCCTATAACTCAAGAACGGGTTAAGCAACCAACAAAAAGTAAACAACACTAAGCTTCCGATGAATCAAAAATTAATATTACTATTTAAAAATTCCAAAGAAAAAATTTCATTATTGAACAAAAACCATATTCTTTTTTCATTTGCCTCTATTGACTTTTGGGACCAAAATTTTTCACATTTTTATTTTTCAAAATAAACTTCATGTCATTGCAAATCGACATGCGAAAAATTAAGAAGGTGTTCTTTCTGTAAGTTCCTCATTTTCCCGCAAACAAAATGGGTTTCGGAGGGGTTGATACGACCCCAGCACGCCGTTTCGCTTCTAATTGAGCTAGAGCCTCGCGGAAAAAAACAAGCGTGTGTGCCGTTACAAGTCGCAGCGATTGGTACCCGATTTTAAGGTCTCAGGTTCACCGGTAGCGTCTGAGGTCAGGTCACGTGACTGAAGTTACGGGTTCGGTTTTTAGTAAATAACTTCGCAAAAAATGGCCGCAGAGCCGCGATTTTGGCATCATTGTGCTCGCCTAGCTCAGGTGCATCGAATGGTATACTTTTTGCTAGGATGAGGTCAACTTAAGTAGTTGACCTCGGGTCAAGGTCAGGTCAGAGCCCCTCAGGTCACGAAGCTGGGCAAAGGGTATCATATGGCATATCATTCGATTCGGAAGGTCTTCCCGAGTCCATTGGTGGCTTTCCCGACCCTCTTGCTCCATTTGATCGGGAGTTATTGACGAAAAACTCGTAAGACTCTAGTGACGTCATAAATGACGTCACGCAAGGTTAACAATGCAAAAGTAAAGCATTGAACTTTGCAAGGAGTGCATAAAATCACGATACCATGTACGTGGGATAGTTTTAGATCATTCTCGGCGCCAAAATAACAGTTTTTATATTTCCCCATTGATTTATAACAGTGATGTCACGTGACCGACCTGACCTCATGTAACCTTGAAAAATTCCCAGATATACAAGTTGTGAGACCTCTGGAGGACACCATGTATGCGTCCTGTAACTTTCATCTCGGACAGCTATGGTCATTGGCGTCCAAAACAATGTCAGAACCAAACAGCCTTTTTCACCCTCGCGCTTATAGGAAAGAGGATTGGATAAACCCTCTTTTCACTTTTTTCAGATGACTCAGACTTAAATTGAAATTTCAGTAACCCGTGATGACACTAGGCAGCTTTACCACGCCATTTGTAAGCTCCCCTCCCGAAATCACTATTCGAAACCGTTATCGTGACGTAAAATAAATACATTTATAGAAAGAACACCTTCCTATTTTTTTGCATACTTCTTAACAATGAGCCAAATGTTTTTTTTTTTAAAGAAATAAAAATTCCAAAAAATTTGGTCCCAAAGTCCAAAAAATGCAATTGAAAGAAAACTCGATATGTCATATATCAAAAATAGCGTATTTTTTCGAAATTTCAAAAATACATATTAATCTCTGTTTCATTGCATGTTCAATGTTATATAACATTTGGCATTTGAATAATCCGTCTTAGAGTTACAGCCCGCCAAACTTAGCGCTGCAAAGCAAGATCGAAAAAATGTTATACACCATAACTCAAAAAATACTTATCTGATAAGCCTGAAATTGTTACAGGTGGATTCAGAGCCCCTGATTACCCCTGAGACCAATTCTCGTCAAATTCCGAGAGATGAGGGTGTCAAATTGGAAAAAAGCGGTACGATCTATCGTGGAATGCCCCAGTGGTCTCATGTCATAGAGATCTTATATACATATATAAGATCTCTATGTCTCAAGTCACCGCTGTTGGACGTTTGGCCTTCCGACTGCCCCGTGAACTGCACGGTTTCACCTCGCCAGTGACGCTCCCGGCTCCGACCGTGCGCAGTGCACTCAGCGTGAATGCAACAGGATCGAATAGCATGCACTTCACCGGTCACATCTTCGGACAAATAAGCAGACATCACACATATAACTAGTAAACTTGTCCTTACAAAACGTCACATTAATAAAATAAAATCACTTTCAGCCTGCAGGGATATCTTGATACACAACCGTACTGGCAACTGTGCAGACTGGACTTCATGGAATAATGTAATATTCAACTAAAAACTTGACTCTGGGGCACTTAATCCGGCAGTTGCTGGGGTATTTCGCCACCCGCCGTTTCCTGGGCGGGGGGGGGGGGGGCGTTAAACGCCCCCAGCCGATAGCTCGAGAACCAATAGGCGCAGCGAAATGCACGAGGCGGCAAACGAAAGAACGCGACGAGACGCTTCAGATGAGTACTTTGAAGTTGAATTTTGAGGTCACAGGTCGGGTCAAGGTCAGGTCAAACACCTGAAATCGGGCTTTCAGTAGCATGGACTTCAGGACTTCGCAATGGGCGCCTCTCGTCATAAACTCTGTCAAAACTATGCAGAATCCTTCATATAAGGCTTACAAGAGTGTCAGCTCCATGAAGGGGTCAGTCAAGCATAGGTCAGGGTCAAGGTCAGGTCAACCGGGTAGGCACATATCAATCAAAACTGATAAAATCAAAACTGAAAAAAATAAAAACTGAAAATCAAAACTGATATTTGCAGTCGCCCAAAACACATGTTTTATGGGTAATTTTGGGCGTAGAACACGATGGTGACATTCATTTTATCATATGTGTACGTGTTTGGTTAAAAAAAATCAATTTAAGAAATGCATGTATCATGGTTGTGAAGTAGTCAAGAAATTGCCAACATTCAGTTCAAGATTTTGGAAAATGCGGAACGATAATCAATAATCGAAGATAGCCATTTGATTGTTCATGATATTGGCAGTCTAATGGCGTTTACGGCATGCCTGTATGTCTATTCTGTGACTTTTTATGATTTCTTGAACATGCCGTTTTTGGTCGAAAACTCAGAAATCATGACATTAAAACCTTGATATCTCAAAAATTTTCCGACCGATTTTTTTTTTTTTTGAAACTTTGTCACAATCAACTTCAATAAATTCCCTACAGGTACCCAAATTTTGGCGCGCCTGCGGTGCGCCGTTTTTATGCTAAGGCGCGGCGAAAAAAGTGGGGGCGTTTAACGCCCCCCCCCCCCCCCAGCAACTCGCGGGTTAAAGGAAATATCATTCCCTTTAACATGGGGTTTTGAACTGGAGTAGCAGTTTCGTTGTTTTAGCTTAGACTTACACTAAAAAGGAAGCTTTTGCAGCCCAACGATCATCCTAGTCAAAGAATAAATATATTTCATTTCTCATTCCGAAATCAGTCCCTTACGCAGGAATTAAGCAGCACACAGCTGGCCTTATGGAAGAATTCCAAAAATTGCAGCCACCTGTCGCAGAGCCCAGCGTCAGCCAATCAGCATGCAGTTGGCTGCAACTTCTTCTCCGCAAACCTTGGATGGACAATGAATACGATGATAATGCCAATCTAAGGTGCGGAGTCTCGCGCGTCCTGCTGTTACGATTTCCGAATGACCAATAGCATAGTATTCGCGTTATTCTCGGTTTTGTCGCAAAAAAAGAATACCTACCTACCACGCAGTTTGCAGAGGGATGCGTGGTACTTTGCAATTTTCATCCACTGCTCCCCTCCCCCCCCCCAACTGCCCCTCCCCCACAGATGGCGGTCCAGGCCACATCCAGGTCTTCCAGACGCCGCCGCCGCCGCCAGCGCACCAGCACACCAATAAGTACGTGTGCGGCGTCAAGGGGGCGCCGGCGCGCAGCGCCCGCGTCGTCGGCGGCACGGACGCCACGGCCGGCGAGTGGTGCTGGCACGTGGCGCTCATCAACTCGCTCAACCAATACTTGTGTGGTGGAGCGCTGATTGGCACCCAGTGGGTGCTGACGGCAGCCCACTGCGTCACCAAGTGAGTCGCGCAGCCCGCCGCGGCCGCTCACCAATCAGCACAAACGGCGGCTGGCGGGAACACGGCTCTCCGGGACGGCACGGCACATTGGCACCGGTTGTTTTCCTAACATTGAGCTGACAGGTCGCTGGCTACATCAGTCAGGCCGAGCACTAGGGGCCAGCAGGTGCAGCGAAACCTGTGGCGGATTTGGAAATTGTTTGAAATTCAAAAAAAGCATTGAATATGGCTGAGGACTTGTGTCATGCTGATGCTAGATAGGAATTGTATGCAAGTTGTTGAAGGCAAGCAATGGTATATTTTAGCATTACATACTCGTATTGTAAGTACAGTCCACAGCAGAAGCAATGTGCGGTTTCAGTCATGGGTATGATCTGCTTCTGAAGCTTAGGAACGATTTGCCAGACTACGATGAAGCTTTTTAATGTTGCTTACATGTATCGTCACCCTTGCAGCTGCACTTTTATCTATTGACGTCTTCTTTTCGATCACTCCGCATTAAAAATCGCCAGTCATAGCCATCCGTTGAGATTGGCAAAACCGCACATTGCTTTAGCGGCGGGCTGTAGTCTGTACAATAGTATGTACAGGGTGAGCCATGAAGATTTACCCATCGAAAATTTCACTTTTCAAGGCGAGCTGACAAAGCTATGTCATCTTTTACATACATAAAACAACGTTATCTCCTAGCTAAACAATGAAGTCTGTTTTCTGGATGCTCGCATTCTCCCTGTGTTACGCGCCCAAGTCCAAAATTCTTACAGAGGTTGGGACGCCAGTCACGTGATCCTTTTCCCAACCCTACTCGCGATTTTCATAAGCCTTGATTTATTCTTGAAACACTTTGTGCAGAGGCGTTTATTTACATATATAAAAATCAAAATGTCCGTATGTATGTATGTATGTATGTGACGCGTCAGTCACGCTTGGCGGGCTATTGCTGTGGAACGGTGTGAGCTGCGGGGGTGAAATTTTCGACACAAGTCGGACGCGTGCATCTGTTTGTCGTATCAACTTTTCGAGGGGGTGCGTGCAGCGGTGTGCACGTGGCGGGCGCATCTTTGCAGCATTTTGGGCCGCGGCCGGCGCCGAGCAGACGGCACGCGCCTTAGGCTCAGTTTCTTCGCTTGCAAAACTGGGTGAAATCAGAGCCGGAAGGTCACTGACCTTTGGCAGTGAATACCAGAACAGGGCACCGCCGGCCATGAGGAGACGCCAAATTTATTCTGGCCATAACTCGGCCGCTACTGGGTCGATTTTAATGAAAATTGATTTATTACGCTGCGCGTAATGCTGTCCCTCTAGTCACTTATATAAAAATCAAAACGTCTGTACGTATGTATGTATGTATGTATGTATGTAACGCGTCAGTCACGCTTGGCGGGCTATTGCTCCGGAACGGTGCGGGCTGCGGGGGTGAAATTTTGGGCGCAAGTCAGACGCGTGCATCTGTTTGTCGTATTAAATTTTGGTGGGGGTGGGTTCGGTGGTTTGCACGTGGCGGGCGCATCTTTGCGGGAATTTGGCCGCGGCCGACGCCGATCAGACGGCACGCGCATTATCCTCAGTTTCTTCGCTTGCAAAACTGAGCGAAATCAGAGCCGGAAGGTCACTGACCTTTGGCAATGAACACCGGAACAGAGCACCGCCGGCCAAGAGGAGACGCCAAATTTATTCTGGCCATAACTCGGCCGCTACTGGGCCGATTGCAATGAAACTTGGTTTATTACGCTGCGCGTAATGCTGTCCCTCTAGTTACATATATAAAAATCAAAATGTCTGTACGTATGTATGTATGTATGTATGTAACGCGTCAGTCACGCTTGGCGGGCTATTGCTCCGGAACGGTGCGGGCTACGGGGGTGAAATTTTCGACGCAAGTCGGACGCGTGCATCTGTTTGTCGTATTAAATTTTGGTGGGGGTGGGTTCGGTGGTTTGCACGTGGCGGGCGCATCTTTGCGGGATTTTGGGCCGCGGCCGGTTTCGAGCAGACGGCACGCGCCTTAGGCTCAGTTTCTTCGCTTTCAAAACTGGGTGAAATCAGAGCCGGAAGGTCACTGACCTTTGGCAATGAATACCGGAACAGAGCACCGCCGGCCAGGAGGAGACGCCAAATTTATTCTGGCCATAACTCGGCCGCTACTGGGCCGATTGCAATGAAACTTGGTTTATTACGCTGCGCGTAATGCTGTCCCTCTAGTTACATATATAAAAATCAAAATGTCTGTACGTATGTATGTAACGCGTCAGTCACACTTGGCGGGCTGTTGCGAGGCGACGGTGCGAGCTACGGGGGTGAAACTTTGGTGCCGAGTTGGACGCGTGCATCTGTTTGTCGTATTAAATTTTGGTAGGGGTGCGCTCGGCGGTTTGCACGTGGCGGGCGCATCTTTGCGGGATTTTGGGCCGCGGCTGGCGCCGATCAGAGAGCACGCGCATTAGCCTCAGTTTCTTCGCTTGCAAAACTGAGCGAAATCAGAGCCGGGAGGTCACTGACCTTTGGCAATGAATACCGGAACAGGGCACCGCCGGCCAGGAGGAGACGACAAATTTATTCTGGCCATAACCCGGCCGCTACTGGGCCGATTTTAATGAAAATTGATTCATTACGCTGCGCCTGTCCCTCTAGTAGTTAATTTATTTACAAAAACTAATTTAATGATATTTGAAATTAACAAGCACCTTTTTACTCACAATCTCAAACAAAAGTTAACTTTATTCGCGTTTCATTAATTTAATCAGCTGGCAACCATCAACCATCGTCCTCGATGTAGTCGAACTCGGCGCACTCGGATAGTCTTCGAAATTTGTGACGCTATCTTGTTGCTATGGCGACCGGGCAGCGCCTATGTATGCTTTTCATTTGTCAACAAGTGCTTGCGGAGCTGCCGCTCACATTTTTTAACACAGTCTTTATGCGTCAGTTTGTGTGACGCGTCATATCTGAAACATGTTTTGTGAGGCTCCAAAACCATTCAATTCATCTCCTTCAAAAGAAGTGTTTTGTAACATTTTCGATATGTTTTTGGGCCTAATTTCTAGCTCTATTCATCCTATCTTGCGTGAGGATAGTCATCATTCGGGGACAGTTGAAAGCAAGAAATAACGACGAGGAGAACTGCAGTGGCGTATCCAGGGGGGAGGCCAAGAGCCCATGGCCTCCCCCTTTGGGATCAGCCATGCAAGTGGGCCCTTTGGCGCAGTGACGTACCCAAGGGGGCCACGGGGCCCCTGAGGTCTAAGGATAACTCAGGGGGACCAGCGTGACGAAGGCGTTCTGGGTCTCCCTGCCTTAATTCCAGTACTAGACAGAACGTCTTTTACTCGGGAGAAAAACGAATATTTGTATTTGTATTTGTATTTGTATTTGTATATTTAAAATCGCCAACAGACAATAAGTCCACTTAAAAGGCGAAGTCAAAGAGACAGTAAAACAGCACACACCCACACACACAACACACACACACCTACATACACACACACACACTGAAGATAAAAACACGTAGGGTTATAAACACAGGAGATGTAAATAAATAAATAATAGCCTAAAAAGCCTAGTAAACAAGAAACACTAAAAGCACAGCGGATGCGATCACGCCGCTTCCAGCCCTTTCACATAGTTTAAAACGTGTCCTCTAAAAGTGTAGAAACTATCGCTAAAAACATCAGCGGGACTTCTAGTTAAAAACACGTTCATGGCCTTCGGTAGTCGGCGCAGAAAACCATCCCCGACGGTCCGTACGCGCCAGGGAAGCTCGGCGAAGAGCCGCTGTGAGCGGGTTGATCGCGGCGGCACATGGAGCGGAAATCTACCAAGGAGGTTAGAAGAACGGATTTTACCGGCCAGGATATTCCTCAGGAAGAGCAGGTCGTGTTGGTTTCTACGGACAGACAGTGATGTAATACCAAAATGATGCAGAAGAGAAGGATAGGACAGAGAGGAACATGGCGAGGACGTGTGGCTATTCAACCACAACAAGAATTTGTGCTGCACACGATCAACCCGCTCTGTGTGGGATTTGGCCGCTCCCGCCCAGACCACGCAACCGTATTCCAAAATTGAGCGAACATTGGCATAGTAAGTAACGAGTAACGTATGTTTGTTAAATTTCGATCTCTTAGTCCCGGCCTGAAAGGTTCTGATCATCAGGCCTAGGGCCCTGTTTGCCTGGCATACAATCCGGGACACGTGCGCCGAAAATGACAGCTTGCTGTCAATTGTGACGCCAAGATCTTTGATCTCGTCTACGCTCTCCAGAACAGCGCTGCCAATACGGTAGGTGGTCCGAACGGGAGCGCGCCGCAGAGTCACACTGAATGCTTTACATTTGGCTGGGTTTAGAGACAGACCCCATGTGGCCGACCAGGAGCTCAGCCGGTCGATGTCCGTCTGCAAAGTAAGAGCATCCTGGCGCGTCGTGATTTTCCTGAAGATTTTGGCATCGTCTGCGTAGAGTAAACATTCTGAGTCTAGATCGGAAGGGAGGTCATTGATAAAAATAGAAAATAGGATCGGAGCAATCAATGACCCCTCTGGATTTCCCGAAATGACACTAGTCCATTCCGACGTTTTGCCGTTCAGTGTGACTCTTTGGCGCCTATCGGAGAGGTACGAGACAAACCACATGAGAGCTGAGCCGTGGACGTGGAACGAATTTTTTAGTTTGTGGATCAAGTAACCATGATTTACACTTTGAAAGGCCGCTGTGAAGTCGGTGTATATCGTGTCTGTCTGGTATCCCTCCGATATGGCCTCCCACGCCGAGGTCAGAAAGACGGCCAAGTTGCTGGTACATGATCTGCCCGGCACAAAGCCGTGCTGCTCGTTGCAGAGTGCCGGTGCCACGTGCCGGTAAAGCTGGTCATAAACCACTTTTTCTAAAATCTTTGCGAAGAGAGGCAGCAAGCTAACACTTCTGTAGTTTTCGGCCGACTTTTTGTCTCCTTTTTTGAATATCGGCACTATGTTAGCGCGTTTCCAGCGTTCGGGGAAAACTC